TTTTAGGGGAAAATAAATACATTTTTGGGTAAATCTCACCCTCGCATTAGAGAAAAAAAATGTTTTTAGGGGAAAATAAATACATTTTTTGGTAAAAACTATTCTAAAAAACCCTGCCTTTTTCCCAATTTTTCAGTTTCACGTCCATATCTTCGAAAATATAGACACCCTTGTTCCAGTACCTGTATAAAAGATTGAAGTAGCTGCTTTGCACATTCTCTATAAACTCAGGTTTGTTCAATTCTAAAAAAAAATATTTCAACTTTATTTTGAAATTTTTCTTTAGTTTAATGTGTGAGTAGTTTTCAACCTTTATATATAAAATAAATAGTCAATAAAGATGTATTGATTTATCTTACACTTGCATCCTAGTATTCTTTATTTTGTTTATATTTTGTTTAATTTTATGGCAAGAATTTTGAAAATGTTGTCAATGAAAAAGTTAATTATACATAATTTATATACAATATAGCGCAAAAAAAAGCTACAAAATAGAGTTTATTCGTAATTCTGTAATCCTATTTATTGAGGTTAACTTCTTGATCAATATGTTTAAAGTTATTTGATAAATATTATTAGAAATGTTTATTTTTCATGATGATATCAAATAATATGTTGTTTGTTAAAATAATAATCCTCTCTCAATATATGAAGTTGATACTTGAACAACAATCATTCAATTAGGTATCAAATAAACATTTTAATAACATTCATCTAAAGGGACTGTTAGCGTAATAGTTTTTATATTATAGCAGTTGCACATGTACATTGGACATGCTTACAGTAGAGGCTAGAGCAAAACAAGTTCTCAAAAACTTTTATAGAGATAATAATACTAAATCAGATATTTAGCTAATTGTTTATCGTCGCTTTCTGCCCCGTAAAACGACGACGTAAAATGTTTTTTTTACGTAAAATGTTAAGTTTTGACAATTTCACCCATTGTATATGAAAAGGAAATCCGCTAGTCAGTTAAAAGAGAAACCGAAATTTATAATTCATTTTTAAAGGAAAATGATGGATAACTGAAGCATTCCTGATTGATCAGACAAAACTTTCAAGGGTACTGCTGTGAATCAGACATACCACTCTATATTGGAGAGTGAATTTATATCCCATCTACAGCCCAATAAAGACACGAAAGTAAAACAAAAACAGTCTTATCTCCTATTAGATTAAAGATTAAATGGAAAATACTAATTTCTAGGAAAGCTTTGACCAAGTGCATCACACGGTCTCAAACCAACTTATTTTTACAAAAATTCTAAAAAAGAAATGATTATTGCTTTTATTTCAAGTCTCTGTTTTATTTAGGAAAAAACAGGGTTGCTCAAACAAGAATAAATTGATTGATTTTCTTATTTATCAATATTACTAAATATGTTTGAACTCTTCGCATCGTTTTTTGTTAAAAGGTATATATGTTCATCTCAATCGGCCATTTTTAGTACAATGTAAAACTAGACTTGCTAAAACTTTTAAATTTGCTTCATGGAAACGGATTATGGATATTCCAAAATTTATAACGTTGGGAAATTCTTTAATTCAAGTATTACACCTTCCGTTCCAAAGGGTAATGTAAATTTTTTTTGGCCCGATCGTTCTGACCATTTTTCGAAGTTTATTATATATCAAAAAAAATAAAAAATATAAAAAGATTTATAGTTCGGGGGGGCTTTTGTTCCTTGACTTTTTCTTAGAAGATTTAACACCTTTCGATGGTAGATGTTACAAAGTTCAAGGTCGTCATTAAAGGAATTTCGGGGGAATTTTCAAGTGATCCTCCCTTTAAAGAGTTTTAAAAAGGTACCCTTGTCTTATAATTATTTTTCATTCCGATCCTATAACCTATATTTAAATTTGGCTTGTCTGTCTGTTTGTTTGTCTGTTTGTTTATATTCAATAAACGTCAAAACGGCTGAACCGATCAGGCCCAAATTTTGAGGCAGACCACACGTGGCCCCAGGGAAGGTTTATGACCAATCAGACTATAAATATGTAATCTTAAAATATTTTTATCTTAAATTATTTAATTTTGTAAAATTTTTAAAATGCACGAAAAAATGTTATGAAATTCGCTTTAAAAAAAATTTCATACTGAACAAAGAGAAGATTTTCACAGATAAAGCCTCAATTAAAAGTTGAATAAGAAGATGGGCGCCTAGTTTACTAAAGCCCAGTTTACTAAAAAGAGAATTAAGATTATCTAAATCTGTTAATAAAAAAGCGATGAAAGGTACCGTCGTAAATCGACATGTAACGATTTAAATTTAGAATTAATTGAATCTACGTTGGGAGTCCATTTAAGACTTTTTCCGGAAATAAAATGCTCACCAAGTCCATCTGCAGAGAAGATAACGACATGCATGAGAATTAGAATAATTTCGCTTGACAACTGCTCGCGAACGATGCGCTCCATGGTTTTCATCACGCTTCTAAACACATAAAGACGACATCAACGAAAATCTAATCCTTAAAAGAAGTAAGAACATACAAAGTGTTAACCACAAAGGATGAGAGGTAATTTCCTAGTAACAATTACTGCTTTTCATATACTGCATTTAAAGTAAACATTTACAATAAACGAGAATTCAGCTGATTCAGCCAGAAAACATGGCTAAAAAATCGCAGTTCTTGACATAGGGTATCAGTTGTTCTAAATAGCAGCCATTAATATCTGGTATTATCTGCTTCTTCTCTAGAACTCTGATAATTATTCTAGATTCCAGCTGATTCTTCTCTAGAACTTTGCTGCTGAAAATTTCTGATAATTATCCTAGATTTCAGCTGCTTCTTTTCTAGAATTCTGCTGCTGAATATTTCTGATAATTATTCTAAATGTCAGCTGCTTCTTCTCAGAATTCTGCTACTGAATATTTCTGATAAGTATTCTAAATTTCAGATGCTTCTTCTCTAGAATTCTGCTGCTGAATATTTCTGATTATCATTCTTGGTTTCAGCTGCATCTGCTAGAAATTAATGCTGGAGAAAAGCTCTGATAATTTGGATAGATTTTAGCTGCTTCTGCTATATTTCTGTTGCTAAACTATTATTTTCATGGATTTAACTCAACTTTTTTTAGTGATACTACCGTTACAAATTTCAGCTGCTTTTATTTAACACAAGGGATATTGATAAACATTACTGCTAAGCACTATTACTCACGCCTTAACTGAAGAAATAATGCTACTTTACTGCTGCATATTGTGACAGCAGTTTTAACCAGCCTCTGCTGTAGAATATATTGCTGCTGATATGCTATAATTAATGTTAGCCGCTTTATCTTAAGCACATTGCTGCTGTTGCTTATTTACGAGCTTCCAGCGAAGAATATTGCTGCTGAATTGCTCTTAATCACTTTGTGCAGCTTCAGCATCATTGTACTCTTCACACAACTGACGTAGGTCGGTCAGGAGAGAAACAATTTTACTGAAATATATTTATTTTATTACAAAATTCAATTTATTTGTAATTTTGGTATTCTGGGATTTTTAATTTATCTTCAAAAATATAAACAAACTTTTTCAATTAGTAAATTAATTTAATTAGCCTTGTTAATCTGATTATGTTGGATTTTTTTAAACACTTGAACCCGATTTTTTGTCTTGCTTTATTAAACCCCAAACCTCGAACATCTCCCCATTTATAATGCACACCCCTAGCTCTCTTCTATTTTATTTAAATTCGTTAGATATAAAAGTCGAGAGAAAAATTGAGAGAAACAAAATTAGAATAAGATCTAGATTCTAGTATATTGTCAAATGAGGTCGTTAAATGTTTGAATCAAACAATTTTATAAGTAAGCAGTAAATCATAACTTTTACTTGCAGACCTTTTTTTGAATTTTTGTGCAAACATCAAGTATTTTCATTAGTAATTCCACAATTCTGTTTGGGAATCAATAATTTCTCTTACAAAATCCGATGATACTGATACATATGTATGTATTAAAATTAGAAAAATCATGAAGTACGAAATTTTGAATTTTCAAGTCGACTGAAAAATACAATTTTCTTTTT